AGACGAGGATATAGGACTTTACTTAGAACAACGCCTTGTGGAAAAGGACCACCTCTACTCTTCTTATGGATCACGTAAAAGGCGACTAAGACCATCATCTCAATCTACAAATTTGAGAACATCAGGAACACAACCTATCTGGCCAGCGTGGGGTGTAGAACAACCAATACCTCCTCCTCACTGGATGGAGGGGACTGGTCTGATGATGCCTGGTCTGAGGATTTATTTTATTCGGAACAACTAGGAGTGTGGTTCCAGCCGATAACCCTGGGAGGCGAGGATATACTCAGCTAAATAGCAAGCAAGACAAAAGCCTTTGACCAATGTGTTGCCAGTGATGGTATACGGGTCTGAGACGTAGTCGCTTACATTCGGCCTCATAAGACTCAAGGTCACCCAAAAGGCGACGGAGAGTTTCCCTGCGTGTTCGAATCAGAAATGAGGAGATAAGCAGGAGAACCAAAGTGACCGACATAGCTCGCAGAATCGCTAAAATCAAGTGGCAGTGGGCGGGGCACATAGCTCGCAGAGCTGATGGCCATTAGGGCAGACAAGTTCTCGAGTGGCGACCACGGGCCGAAAGACGTAGTGTGGGCAGGTCCCCCACTAGGTGGATCGATGTTCTGGTAAAGGTCGCGGAAAGTGTCTACTAACTGGTCGTTGTGGAAATCCTAAATAGAGGTCTTTGTCCAGCAATGGAAGTCATTTGGCTGAAACGAACAAACGAAGTGATTACTGCCGCCCATAGACACTCGCAACCCCGCATGTAAGGTATGAGTAAGTACGCTCTCTTCTCAAAATATTGTAGGTCGTATCGGTTCATCATCATCATCATTTCAGCCATAGGACGTCCACTGCTGAACATAGGCCAATCCAATGATTTCCAAAATGGCCGGTTGGTGGCGGCCTTTATGAGGTCGTCATTCCACCTTTTGGGTGGACGTCCTACGCTGCGCTTTCCGGTACGTGGCCTCCATTCCAGAACCTTGCTCCATTACAGTTCCTTAAATGTACCTAAAGTACGGCCAACTAGCAGCGATACAAAAGGTCGATACGACTGTCGAGTTGACAATATATTCTGTCTCTTCCCATCTTGTGTATTTGTCGTAATGTCTCGTTCTCCCGCCAAAATATGTCAAAGTCAGACGGGTTCACCCATGATATTAGGTTTGTTTACATTTGGTATCGCTTCTCGTTGGCCGTACTTTACCTTGTGCTCAGCCTTCTTCTGCTGTTTCTCTGCAGCCTTGGCGGCTTTCTTCGCCGCCTTCTTGCTGACGGTGTCGCCCTCTGCTGCGGCCTGCGGATCCTCTGAGACCACCATGGTTTGAGATTACGCTGTGAACATTAAAAATAATTATTATTACTTCTGAAGAAAATCACCTGACTTGCCTAGTAAAAGTAATTTATTTTGAAATTTCAAATGAAATAAAATTACTTTTGCTATTTCAAATCCAACTATCCAACTAATATTATAAATGCGAAAGTTTGGATGTCTGGAAGTTTGTTACTCTTTCACGCAAAAACTACTAAAAGGATTTTGTTGAAACTTTACAGTATTGTTGTTTGTAACCCAGATTAACATATAGGTGCCGATCAGTGACACTAAATTTCACGCGGGTGAAGCCGCGGGCAAAAGCTAGTAAAAATAAATTACTTTCCAATTAGAAATGCCTTTTGGTTCCAGCAGGGTAGAATAGGACCAGTCCTACCCTTCCTGGTAGATCATTGGTTCCCAAAGTGGGGGGCGCGCCCCCCAGGGGAGGCGCAAAGACCTTTAAAGGGGGACGCGGGCCATATGTATAAAACCTGCGACCGCTGAGAGAATGCATTCCAGACTCCACAATACGACCAATAAATAATCTTGACTGGAGGAGGGGGAGCGCGGAATTTTTTGTATGGTCGAAAGGGCGCGTCTCAAATAAGTTTGGGAACCAATGCTGTAGATTAAAGAATAGCTATTGAAAAGGCATATAAGGGACAAATATGCAAATGTCAGGCCTCCCCAAACTATCTGGCCTGGTGGGGAATGTTCACCAAATTCTACATTTACCCGTGATAAATTAGGTTTATTTAAGTACTCTCTTAACTTAAATTCATATTTTTTGTTTATCACATTGGATGTCACCTACAAAATGATCAAACAACAATATTGCAAATGCACAAGTTCAAAGATATCTCTTATCAGTAAAATTATTGCAAACACTTGATAAATACTTGTAGTAACCGCTCTAGTGATATCATACTTGTATATTGATACTGTTGCTTGGAGGATATTGTATGTACAGTAGAATCCCGACTATCCAGATCAATTAAAACCAGGGGTATTCTGGATAATCGATTTCAAAGTAAAATCAAACAATAATTAATTAACTTTTACTGAAAAAAAGTGTTCTATATACATCATTTAGATCATTGGGTGAATCAATTTCTTTTAACAAAGAACCAAGACGGCGTCTGAACGTGTTACGGTGGCGGCGTTGAGCTAATCGCTAATCGGCTATCCGGATAATCGAAGTCTGGATAATCGAGATTCTACTGTAATTTCAGCAATGATAAATGAAATCAAAGAATTTTAAAGAATGTATGTAAACACAAACCCCTTATTACAAAACAGTGAGACTCGGGACGAACACTGCTTTATAATGACATTTCCATACGAAACATCAGTTTAGGCCAGAGTTCAACCAGAGTCTAACTTTTGGTAATAATGGGGGCAAGGCATTTTGCATGGTTATAAAATCCATTATTATGCATGTAGTCTGATATTAGTACTGGTGTGGCAGCTGTACTTGAATAATATATCAACAGTTTATTTACCACATGCCATGCAAAAAATTTGCTTAGATTATACCAGAATAAATACATTTCAAAGCTTGTACCATTTTTCTCTTTATGTTGACCTGTATTGTAATATATTTGATACCAAATAAATATTTTTTCTTTCTTTCATTTCTTTGTTTAATTGCACAACTTTAAATAAGAAAACTAGTTGGAAGTTGCATTCATTTTGATACAGTTGCATCAGCCATCATCAGAATAGTGTTTTAACATAGATAGAACTTGGAATGTACCTAATATTCTATAACTTTCAATATCCAGTCTTGTGTTTAAATGTGATGAAACAACATAATAAATGAGATGTTTCCTTCCTGACAATTTATGGCAGCAAGGTTCTAAATATAGCTTACCTTAATTTAGTTTTAGTTTATCCTTTGATAAGTAGCTTACTTTGTTACTGAACACAACTTTTAACATTATGTACCTAGATAAGTTACTTAAAAACTTACGTATCTTCAAACTGTAGAACCAAATTATAATTTTTTATACGAACAACTAAAAACGTGACGGTTTGAGTCACTAAATAACTACACAAACAAATAAAATTTGCATTATAATGTGTATAGTTTCATCATCAAAGTTTTTGTCGTACAAGCTGCCAATTTTAACAGAAAATAACTGATATTCTGAAGAATTTACTTACGTAGTATGTGCGTTTATAGAATATCACTGTTTGTATGCGGTTAAAATTCCAACTTTAACCGCAATTTGGATATTTTAAAACACTAAAATTAGGTTAAGTCCGGTCGGTGGTCACCTTTCTTATCTAATGTCAAAGTGACAGTTGACAGTTTGACACAACAGCTGACGCGTGGCACAGAATAAATATACGTACGTACAGTGCGGATAACTTATTCAACCTACGGTGGCGCTAAGTGCGCTAACGTACGAAGTTCGTTAATTAGTGTTTTTAGGATTTTTATGCAGTAAATTAAGTTTATACTTAACTGATTACATAAATACATTACAAACTTTGTTAATAAAATAAAACAACTTTGATCTGTTCAATGATTTTGAATTAATTTATTTAAAACCTTTAGTTCTTCTTTTCGCCGATACTCATAGATAAGTTGGTGGTATTGATAATTCCACAGATATGGATTAGAATAGATACAGCAAGTTGATCGTCAAAGCGTGCCATTCCGATATGTCCAAATGGACATACATGGTCGAGTGATGTTCATGTAATCCGATTACAACAATCGGTTACGATGATTTTACGAGAACAGTAGTACGAACACAGTAGAAAGAAGATATTATTTACGGAATGAGAATTGTAATTAACAGCACAAGTAGCAAATAATTAATTAGAATAAAGTAGCAGTAGAAGAAGTATAAAGTAGCATTGTTTTTAATACATATCCTGCGATGTACTCTTAAGAGTTAAAACCATGGTCCCTGTATGTGGTGCACTCATACCGATCCCAAGGAACCGTACTTACTCATAACAATAAGACACACACTGATCCATGTATTCATGCACTTGACTTTATGTCTTGAAACGCTGGTAGGGTAAAAAAAATAACGAGATTTGACGATTTGTAAGTATTACTTTATTTTAAAAAGGTATATAAAGATGCTTTTAGTTTTGTATTTAACAAATTATCAGTTTTATCGGAATTAATTAATTTTGGAATCGAGTCACACGATATCATTCGATGACTTTGCGAATGCAGTACGATGATACGATTACTTTTACGTTGCGGCAATCACTAAAATTCGCTAAAATGACACTAATGACGTTTAAAAAGTGGCACGCTCGGCTTCATACAATTTTTGACACATGCTGCATCTATCCATATCTGTGGATAATTCTGTGGTTCCAATGGGAAGAAGAACAGAAGGTTTGCTCCGTTTTGTATATTATCTCGCTGTAATCAGGAAACTAGATTAATTAGCCATCCCTTAATGGTTCATTAGATGAATTCCCATGCCAAAAATATTAAATACGTTAATAATAATTGACATGACATGAATAATTTGTCCCAGAAATGCAATTTGAACCTACCCAACCTATTTCATTTAGTAGAACCTACCTACAGCCACACGTCAAAAGACTACTGACAGTTCTAATGTTGCCATAAACACAAATATTAATTATTGCATACTAATTTAAAATTTAAAAGAGGCCCATTATCTCACAAGTTTTTAAACTTCTTGATGGATGATGAACTATGGTGAAAGAAGAAAGCTGTCACCCTAACCAACTCAAGTGTCATAATTTCGTAATATTTGCAAACCTAAAAATCATCTAAACAATACTTAGAAATTGGTGTAATGCATAAATTCCTCGTTCAAAATGTCAATAAACATTATCGGCCCTGACTTAGGTGTAGCGGGGGCCAATAAGAATAAAAATAAAACGTGTTTGCGGTCAGAATGCCGGTTTTTACGGCGAACATACCGAGTCTCCTCAAAGTTGGAGACAGAATCGAGATCGGCGGCAAAATCAAGGAGAATGCGAGAAAGTAAGCCAGTAGAGATTTGGGAACTACTAACTGAACGTGACGTCATAGTGGTAATCAAGTAATTCGTGTCCCAGGTTCGATTCCTGGTTGAGTCAATATGACAGGCATAGCCTAAAATAATTACGACTACTTAATCAGCCAAAATAAAAAGAAGTCAATACACTGTATACCATGTTTTATGCAAATAAACAATTATTCTATTCTATTCTATTTCACACCTATATATTGTATATCAACCAGGACTTGGAGTAGGTACACACCTCTAGCAATACCTTGCTCGAAACTAGCATTTCAAATATTAACCTACATATTTTTCCTAAAATAATGTTGTCCCGAAGTGGTGGTAGGGCATATCACTGTGGGACGTGTATAGGTTCCCTGAAAAAGGCCTGCATGCTTTTATAGACTTGATTTAAGGTCCTATGTCCCCTAGATGGGGCAGAGGGCGTCCACAACAGTCCTCCATCGCGTTCGGTCTTGAGTTTCGCGTTTGAACTGGCTCCAGGTCTTGCCGATTTTATACTTTTGTAAAAGTTGTTTTGAATACTTTCTGCAGGATGTCGGTGAACCTCTGCGCTCAAGAGGGGGAGGAGCCGCGCGACGTGGTGCTCCACTTCGACGTGCGGTTCCACCGGGACAACATCATCTCCCTCTCTCGCAAGAACGGCATCTGGATCGGCAGCGGGAATTACGACACCAACTATAACATGTTTGTGCCTGGTGAGTGCCTACTTGATTTCCTAGTGTCGGAAGGACGAAAGGAGATGAAGAAGTCATTGCTACATCCCTCCTCATCATCCTTACAAACCCATAGCAGCTGACGCTTGAGTTATGTTATTTTAATCGACTTCAACAAACTAACTGTCCTAACTGTATGTGTGCGCCTAATCTGTTTAAATAACGTCAGGCGCTGTTCTACGGCATTGCCTAACATGTTCAATGTCTATTATTACCTGTTTCATACAGGGCTATAAGTAGCTATTATTTGCCTTATAAAAGGTCCAGTGAGTGGCTTCTACCTACATATTTACGAGTAAGTATGCTCTAGTTAACTAAATGGTCCTGCTCTATAACTTTCTGCCTATTTTCCTGCACTTCTAGCTACGCTTGAAAAAAATAGCGTCACTGAGATTTATTCCTGAAGATAACTGGATTAATTCTCTCCAGGCACGCTCTTCCGCATCATCTTCGAGATAAAGGACACGGATGTGATCACCATCTACTGCCAGGGCAAGTTCCATTCCAACTTCCTGCCGAAGATCCCTCTCACCATGGCGCGATACATCGTGGCTTGGGCTGACGTGGATAGGATCACGCATTGTTTCTTCCATCTTGGAAATAAGGTAGGTATCTAAAAAGGTTTCAGTATACAAAGATTTTGCAATCGTTCGTAGGACATGGGCCAAACTAACATAGGTTCAGCCGACAGCATATCGATATCAGACTATTTCAATAAATATTTGCATCAATATGCAATACCTGCAATATAGCACCTTTAAAAACTAACATTTACATTTGACGATCTGGTGAAGGTCGCTGGAAGTACCTGGATGCGGCCAGTCGTTGTGAAAATCCTTGGGGGAGGCCTTTGTCCAGCAGTGGACGTCATTTGGCTGAAACGAACGAACGAAGAATCTTCGAATCATCTGTATTTAATATACCTATGCCTATACGAAATGATTACTTACAGGCTGTCGGAGGCGATGAAGCAGGTCCACCAGGCGCCTTCGCACCGCCATCCCCTCGCCCCGGCCTGGTCGCGGGAGATACTAAACGAGTGTAAGAGATAACATTATATAGCTAGGGCTGTGAATTCCAAAACTGTTCCCTTGTTAGCTCTTGCTTATCCTTATTAGGTTCAGATTGTGTCACAAGAAGGTTGAAATCTCCAACAAAGGTACTTTATAGTGCTATTATGTGGCATCAACTGGGTTTGTAGGACAGACAACGCATGATAATTTGGTGTCTCGAAGAATGATTGCTCTTGCCTGCTGGCAAAGGGTGTCAAAATGCTGCACGTCACATAAAAATAAAATTATCTATGTACAAGCGCATTTATAAAGAGCACTAGCTTTCCGCCCGCGGCTTCGCCCGCGTGGAATTTTGTCTGTCACAGAAAAACTTTATCGCGCGCGTCCCTGTTTCAAAAACCGGGATAAAAACTATCCTATGTTCTTTCTTTCAAACTATCTCTATGCCAAATTTCATCAAAATCGGTTGCGAGGTTTAAGCGGGAAAGCGTAACAGACAGACAGACAGACAGACAGACAGACAGAGTTACTTTCACATTTATAATATTGGTAGTTGGGATGGTTACTTGGTGTGCTTCCTTAACGACTGTTCTGCATTTGATCAGCTCAGAAGTTATCAGCCATTACTAATATAAGATGACTTTGAACAGTCTAGCGTTGAGTTATTTTAATCCACCGTTATAACCAAACTTCTCTTTCAGTCCAAGAGCCCACAAGAAGTCGGCACCAGGATCTCCCCAGCTGCATTCGTCAAACGAAAGTTCTGATGATGATGGCAAGAGACCGAAGGCCGAAGGGCGAGCCGACCGCTTCTTTTACGAAACCCTCATGTGCCAGCAGCCTGACCACGCCAAATTCTCGCCAGAAATGAAATACAGAAGAGACCCAGCACAGGCTAGAAGCAAAGTAGATTATAGAAAGTACAGAGACGCCTCCGATTCAGAGAAGAACGAAAGCGAAGATTATTCCGAAGAAATCGCGTCGAAAAACATGGATTCTTCTGTAGCAGAATCGGACGATGTACTCCAAGAGTTGGGGATGAAAAAAAGGGTTAGAAGGGGTAAGTTCGCGCCTTTCGCGCAAGTTGTAAATTTTATGGGAAAGACTACGAAGAGAAATTAGTGTTGTGTAAAAATGGTCAGTTGTTTTTCTATTGGTAACTTTTATTTTTTGTATGTTTTGTTTTTATTTACTTATATTTTGGATTATATGTTTATTTGGTTTAACGACAGTCTTATTTTTGTCATTTTATTTGGGCTTATCGAGCGTAAGTTAGATCAAAACTCCTTACACAGTATTTACCTTACTTGAAAAATATGGGAGATGAGAGGATCTTTAATATGTGATCAGTAAATTATTTTTCCAGCATCGAACCTGAGTCCTGAGAACTTCCAGGTCGGCCGAGGCAAATCTCTACCAGTAGAAGACAATAACAGCGAAGTAAACTCCACTCCAACTGAATGAATTCTGATAAAAAAATAACTCAACCAAAACATTTAAATACACATTTATTGAAATTTTTCATTTGTATAAATGCTTGACCAACTAAAATTACCAAATTATTATCTACATAATTTGCTATTAATACATTTGCTATAGCCCCTTAATATTTATACACAGAAAATTAAATAATCATTAATTGAAGTCTAACTCACATTTGTATTAAAATCAAGACACTTATTGATATTTAAATTATATTAAAAATTAGAACACTGACGGTGATTTTGTAAAATTAAAAGAAAAACTAAAATTTATGCTAGCCATCAGATTCTTAAATAATGTCCTGTCCTGTTTTAAAACCTGAAGTTGTCAGGAAAAAAAGAAATTACCTAAGCGAGTCTCACTGTGAATCTTACAATTAAAAAAATATAAAATATAGAATAAAACTGAGACTGGTATTCTCAGACTGCCAGTAAAATACAATTTAGTACACAACTTTCCATTTTTTTTTCAACTGGCAACACCGCACATTCATCCCTTTCCCTGCGTTCCCGAATACAATAAAATTAAAATCACAAAATAAATCGTGCATCATCCCAAAATGTAAGTAATCTTTTCATAATTTTAAATGCACAGTGACCAAGATCAGTCCAATATTGACCGAAATGTATTTTTGTTTTTGATTTCCACGTGTTCAATTGACACCTATCTACCTATCTAAAATCATAATAATTTATCGTCCAAAATGCTTTCTCCACAGCATAAAATATAGATAAAATGTATCTATGATACAATAGGTCGTATACCTAAACAGTCATGAGTTTAAAAACATTTACAATTCAAAAATCGAATAACCTAACCTAACCTAACTAAATAACCTGTTGCTAGCTTTTCACGAACGCGCATATTATTTCGGCCTGGTTTTCCTTGATGCCTATGGTTTGGAGTTGGGACTTGGAGACCAAGAAAAGAGATTCCCCGTCGATCTCGTGGTCTTCGAAGAGGACCGCAGCTTCGTTCCATTTGTGTTTTGAGAGGTGGGCCGCTAACTCTGAGGTCTGTGAAGAAAAATCATTGGATAATATTTTTGTATAACAGTCCATTAAACTCATAAAGTTTTTTTTAGTGGGACCGAGTTATCAAATAACACTTCTAAAAATAGCAACAGTTTTAGGTATTGTTTTTATAATAATATGTAATTGAACTAACTTACCCCCCAAGATTTGAGAGTTGTTGGAGTGATATTTGCGAACGGATTGTCCAAATCTGAAAAGAAAGTTGAAGATTTTTATTAGTTTTATTAGTTAGATATGTTTCAAAGGTAGTAAAATAGTGTAGTAGCCTTTGTCCAGCAGTGGACGTCATTTGACTGAAACGAACGAACGAAATTAGTGAAGTAGTAGGCAAATTTTGACTAAAAACTATACTTAAACAAAATCTGTCTAAATGATTTTCATAAAGCCATTGACACTGGTGATTACAATTCGTTGTCTACAATCAATCAAGTCACAAATCACAATACAAAGTATTAAGCAACAAAATAACTTTTTGAAAATATTATACTCTACAAATAGTTAACAAAAATAACATTTCTTTAGTCTTAGCAGAAGAATAATATCATTTATAATTCAGGACATAACATACCTCCTTGCGGGACTCCTTCTGCATTTTCTTCTGGAGCAACCTCTGGAACTCTTTCCGCGACTGGAGGAGGCTTGTTTTCATCATCATTCTTCTCTGTTTTGGGTGGTTCTTTTTCTTCTACTTTCGCTGTTTTTTCTTCAACTTTCGCCGTCTCTTTCTTTTCTTTGGCATGTTTACTTCTATTCCTTGTTTTTCTTTCATTGTTAAGTTGAGGTTGGTGGACAATTCTCCTTGTTAGTGGTTCTCGAATCTGAAAATGGTAAATCGTTATTTTGTGCAGATAGCATATTATTATCAAGCTTGTCATTTTGGCCTTAAGTAGTTGTATTAAGTAATTTCACTCGGCGCTGGCTAGCCAGTTCCTTTGCTTGAACTTGGCTTGACACGCTACCGCGTGTCTAGATAGGATAGTAGCAATTTTGAAATAAAAATGTACTTATAATCTGATTTGATTTGACTGTACTTGAAAAACTTTGGTGTTTGGAACAAATCTCAATACTCGATGTAGTATCAAGCATAGATTATGGCTTTTAATTTGGTTCTAATTAAATATTAATATGTCAAATGTAAACTATGAAAGTAACTAAAGTATAGGTACAATAATCTTGCGTTTAAATATCAGTTGGACGCCTTATTTTTCTTACAGCAAAAGCTGCAGAACTGAGCATTCCTGACAGACCAATTACAGGACAGAATCTATGAGATTGAATCGAGATTTACTTTAAGGAGATTTGTAAAGGAAATTGGCAACGATCTAATGAAAAATAGATAACTAGATAACTTACGGGAAAAGCAACATTTGATTCCTGAATCACAATGCCGTCCAAAACGTGTGTCAGAATGAAGTCTTTCTCCTGCTCGCACTTGCCCATTGGAAACATGCCTTTATTATTAGTCGTATTCAGGGATACATCCATATCCCTCTCTTTCGATTCTACTTTACTCCCACTCTTGTCGTTTTTAACTAGATTGGTTATTTTAAACGGCTTATTACTCGTATTATCAGGTTCAACCTTGACCTCCTTTGGTATTTCTCTCGGAACAGCCTTGGGAACTTTAAAAGGACTTTCAGGTTCTAGTTTCACCTTTTCAATTTTCACTTGTGATTCTTCTACTGGTGGTTTCACTTGACTACATGTTGGGTCTTCTTTCAGAGTGATTGTTATTTCACTTGGGATGGTATTCTGTTCTTTGTCAGTTAAAACTCGACCCCTAGCTTGTGTGAAGACAGTGTTTCTTATTAATTTATCTTTATCACTCGTATTACATGAAGCGTCTTTTTTCTCTTCGGTCGGTTTAACCATATTGACTTTATCAATTTTGATGGCGTTCTGAACGCTCTGTATTAATTTTGTTATGTCTCTCGGTTCTGATGGCTTTTCATTATTATAAAACAATATAGACATGCTCAGTAACTGCTCTCCTTTCTTTGATACAGGAGTTGTGTTAGTTCCTGCATCTGTCGACACAATACTTATATGTTTCACTGGCATATTATTCGCGTTAACTTGTATAGCTGCCATTTTCTTGTGAATCTCATCAGGAGATTCGCTTTTTCTTTTCCTGTTGTTTTCTTCTGGTCTAATAGTGTTTTGCGTCTGCATCGGCATTATTGGTATATGTACATTATTAGTTTGAGTGGCTGGTATATTAGAATTTACATTCATGTTTTGGTTGTTAAGCATGTTTTGTGTGCTATTATGAGCTTGTAACCCCATGGGAATTATAGGTAAATGATGCCTGTAACTTTGTTGCTGTTGCATCTGCTGTTGTTGATGTTGTTGCATCTGTTGTTGTTGCTGCTGGTGATGCTGTTGTTGTTGCTGATGAAGCTGCTGTTGTTGCTGCTGCTGCTGCTGCTGTTGTTGTTGTTGTTGCTGATTCTGCTGCTGCTGCTTCTGATGTTGCTGCTGCATTTGTTGTTGAGTCTGCTGTTGAGCGTGTTGCTGTTGTTTTTGTTGTTGTTGCTGATGATGTGGCCTTGGCTGAATGGGTCTATAAGCCTGGCTCATCACACTCCTCACGCCAGGGTTTGGCGGGTTAATTTTATTCACATTGTGTGTTGGCGCGACTTTTCTTATCCTCGTTATTTGGGTGTTTGCAGCGTTCACAAACGTTGGCATTGACACTTGGGAACTAGCTTCGGTTTTAATTGGCCTATTAACCCCTTGGCCAAACGTTTGGATATTGATCGTCTGAGGTATATTCTGCATTGGGTTTACTGTTAATACTTGAGACTGAGGCCTAGTCATTTGCGGCTGGTTAATTTGACTAAAGTTACCTTGTTGATACGTTGGCTTCACTTCTACTCTCGGAGTTTGACTTTGTTGCTGCGCTTGAGTAGTATTAGGTACAGTAGTTTCGTTCTGCCTTATCATGTTATTGGCCAAATTGATCTGTGTGTGAGCAGGCATTTGGACAGTAGCGCCAATGTTTGGATGTGTTTGCGCAAAGTTTGCCTGTTGTAAGCCTCTATCTTGCAGTTGTATATTTTGTCCAATATTCGTCTGGAAGTTGGTCAGCATGTTTTGCATCATTGGTATCTGTATCTGATTTGGTCTGTTCTCTTGAGGGTTTTGGACCATTTGCTGGGGGATTATCTGTTGATAGTTCTGGTATTGTTGAAGGAATAGCTGGTTTTGGTCTATAGGTTGTTGAATTGGCACGATGTTGTTGCCAAACTGCTGGACGTAGTAAACAGGGTTTTGCGGCGGTCGGTTTTGCGCCCATGGTGGAGTGTTCTGGGGGTTTATAAATAAAGTCTGATTGGGCTGGATTTGGTCTCCTGAAACAATGAATTGAGGATTCATTTAATGTGCAAATATTCCAAAAACTGTTGAACTAATAGCATTGGCATTTAACATACTGGGGGCTCAGGGCATTTAAGGATCAAGCACAAGAAACAGCCAGTTTTACTGCTAGTATTTACAGGTTACTATTTTTTTTTGAGCAGGAGAGAGCCTCCTTAGGCGTCGAGCCTTAGGCCTCAGCCTCGAACTTAGCGGGCAGCGGGGCGGCGGCGGCGGCGGCGCGGGAGCGGCAGGATCTTATGCGTAAAATCAAATAGACCGGTTCTCGAAAACAGCGGCGCGGCAGCGGGGCGGCAGCGGGCAACGAGCGGGCAGCGGCGAGGGAGCGGGCAACGAGCGGGCAGCGCACTCCTTCTTTTGCCCACAATAAATCGAGCGTTAGGAATAAATTTGAATCGAAATAAAATTGTCGCCGTTGTTCAGACATTTCGTTTGCGAATAAAAACAAATATCTCGACAACACAACCCCGAACACAACACTTCACCGCTAAAGCGCCGCGCGAGCTGCCCGCTTGTTTCGAGAACGGGTCTGCGTTGCCCGCCCCGCTCCAGCGCCGCCGCCGCTCCCGCCCCGCTGCCCGCTAAGTTCGAGGCTGAGGCCTTAGGGGTGGAGACCTAGGCATGAGGCCAGAGTGCCCAGTAGGATAGAGGAGCTTTGGATCGAGATTTTCCACTTCTCCCCATTGAACTTGACCTTCACTGGTTGTTTTTTTTTATTAGCGGTCAAGTTGTAAATCCTGGCTACACAGGAGTTGCAGCGGTGGCAGTAAGAGAGGTGGGAATAGTCCCTTTCTCCCCATTGACCTGCCCTTTCAATGGCGGACTGTGACTATTCTACAAATACCCATTCATTTGTCTCACCAAATGCGGATTTGTGGAAGAAAATAGACGAAGAAGAAAATGACAGGGTTTAATGGGGATAAGTGAAAGAATCTAAGTATCGTACATATTTCTGAGTTACCTGGTTGGACTAATATCTG